ATGAACTTAAAAATCAATATGATTTAGTTACTGAAGAGAGAGATCAGTTGCTAAAGAAAATAAAAGAATATTTTGAATCGAGTACTGAAAGCTCAACTGTTTCTCAATTTAAGTGTAAAACTTGCTTGTATGATTGTTCTAGTGTTAAATCCAACAATTATTCAAGTAGTCCTAAATCAACTATTTCAAAGAACAAATCTCGCAATACAAATCAGCTTTACAAAGGTTATGTAATTTAATCAAACAATAATTTTTCAAAAGTAAAACAAGTTTGGGTGAATAAAGTTGAATCTGTTAATTCTCATAAATCTGTTGATAATAAGAAATCATTTGTGACTGATACTATTCTACCTTGCATTGTGAAGTCTACTAATCAGTTGATCAGTCTTAGCAAGAGAAGAATTCGATGCTCAACTTGTGGAACAAATGATTTCATCAACAAGAAGAAGGTCAACAGATAGTATAACAACAAATGGTATGAAAACAGTTGGAATGGAAATACCAGTTTTGAGAACAAGTGGTATGAGAATAACATGTATAATAATAATTGGTATGATTCTTATTGCATATCTGATTTACCAATTAAAAGAAACAAAAAGAAATTATCTAATAAGAATAGATGGTATGACACTTATAACATCCCTCAAACCAATACTAACAAAGTAGGACTCATGTTTTTTTTAGATACCAAAATCTACTTAATCTGTTTTGTAGGTGTGTCATATGTTGTGCCAATGTCAAACATTATTCATATGATTTATTGATGCAGGGGGAGTGTATAGTTTGTCAGAAAATAGTTTCTAAACACCCAGTTCATGATCTGTTATTCAATACAGCTTCTGAACAATTTAATTCAAAATCTGAGCTAACTCAAAAGAAGATTAATGTTTTATCTGTTTGAATATGAAATCTATTTTCTAGGGGGAGTGTTGAAAAATGTTTTTGAAATCTGAGCTGACTCAAAATGAGTATCATTTTTTATCAGGTATTTCTTTGAGATTTTACTTGTGTATTTTCTCTTCATACATATTTTCAATATCCGTTTCAACTATTCTTCAAATTGTTATTATCACATCTCTTAAATGAAAATCATTTTTGATGATAATACACTCGTTTGTATTCAAAGTTGTTTTCCGAGCTTATCTGAAATATAATTCTTTGATTGATACACATTTCTTCATTCTTTGATTGTGTAAATCTGTAAACTTGTTCTTACAGATATTTGTTCATTTCTCCCAATTGAAATATTTTGTTCTTACATATCTTTGTTCATTTCTCCCATTTTTTCTTCTGAATAATCTGTTTTGTAAATCACTCTTGATTAATTGATCATGTGATTAGTTGCTATATTTTTCTTGGTCAATTTTCATCTGATCGAATGTGCATCATTGAAATAATATTTTTGATTAATCATTTTTATCAAATGAGCTCACATTATTATTTTTAGGAGGAACTGAGAGCTTAACAGAAATACCTCTATGGACTGTCAGAACCGACAACCCTACCTAAGAGGATATCCATATGTGAATGAGCTTAAATGCAAAATAGGTGTGCGTGCATAGTTTAAAATGTAAATGAGAGGGGTAGTTAAAGTGAGCTAAAAGAATTGATGAGAGTTGTGTCAAGGATTAAAAGATTAAAAGAATCATGTTCTATCTACTATAATCCATGCAAACTACAAAATCTATTAGTTCTCAATCATTTGGAGACTAATATTGAAAAAGGCAAAGCCTAGGTCAACTCTTGTCATAACCCCACCAACTACTCGTTTATCTCTCAAAAGATAAGTGTTTCAATAACATTTGGGGCACGCAACTCATAATCTATCAGTTTCTCATTTGAAGATAATTGATATTGAAAAAGAAGGTTATTTGTCCCCCCCTTCATGTCTTTTTGATCACAAATTGAGTCTGATAAATTTGTGTAGTCCACACTGTATATCTTTTTTAGCCTAATTTGAAGCATTAGTTGCTTTATCATTTTTTCACTGCACAAATTTATAGAATATTTGTTATTCTATTATAACATTTATAGATATGCTCTTTTAAAGCTATCAATGATTGAATGAAAGTCCTGGAGAGATAAACATCAAAAAGTCTCATATATGAAGTACATTCGTTGTACTGAATATATCTGTTATATTCACATGTCAATCTTTTTCTAAAAGATTGAAAACAGGTTCATAAGTTGAATATGGTTCTTTCCCTCATCTTCATAATCTGAAAAGATTATATAAGCGAATTTGAAAAGATTTGCTTATCATTATATGAATTGACGACATTCTTTAAAGTTCATTCATTTCGGTGTATGATGTAAATGCTCCTCATTTCATCATAAGGGTGGAGTATTTTTGAAAAAATGAATGAAATTTGTGTCATTTCTGAAGATCGGGGAAGTTGTTAAAGTTTTCAAGGAGTTGATCATATAATTGATGATAATTGTTGAAGATTATTGTGCTGCAATGTTCAAGGGGGAGTGAATGTGAAGTTTATTTTCTTTTATAGAGATTAAGGTTTCTTAAAAGGGAAGATTGTTCATTTGTAATGGAGAGACACTCTGAAGTTTGTAAAAGAGGAAGTTATTTGAAGAAATTTGTTAAAGATCATATCTTGAAGAATCAAAACTGAAGTCTGTTGCTGATTTTGACTTATATCCAAAGAGGGAGAATGTTTGGAGACTGTAAAAGTTTTTGAAGGTTTAAAGTTTCTAAAAGCTTCAGAAATACAAAATGTTCAATTATTTCAAGCTTGAATCCAAAGGGGGAGAATGTTGGGTTTGAGTTTTTGTACTTAGTGTTGTATTCAATCTTGTTTCTTCTTTATGATTTCGTATTGTAATTGTCTACTATAAATAGTGTTTGTCTTTGTAATCTTGAATATGATTCTTTCATTGTCTAATAATTGTTGATGTATTCACTTTGAAGATCAATAAACAAGATTCATATTCTCTGTCAATATGCTCTACTTTTCAAGATTCTTGATTTGCCAATTTTAGTGTTCTTGATCATGCATGAAGATTGATTAAACAAACTGGGATTCTTATATATTGATATTAAAAAATAAATAAAGTATAACCCTCATGCGCCTCCTTTTTTCTCTAATCTGTAAAACAGTCGCTCTGACCCCTTCCTCTTTCTAGTGATCCCTGTCTCCTCCTCCGTTTCCCAGCGATCCCTCACCACCATCACTGTAATCCCCGTCGCCACCATCTCTAGCCCCTTCTTTCTGGTCATACATCGTCCTTCTTGTTCCTTTCCATCCCCATGCCTCCAACTTCCCTAAAATGGAAAACCACATCCCTTTCTCGGTGCTACCGCCATCACTGGAATATGAATCAAAAACAACAAAATAAAGCAAATCAAATATGTTTTCTCAAGAAATGGTTTTTTTCTTCTTCAAGTTTTCTACAAATCCAACAAGAAAGGGTTTTTGCTTTGCATCTACACCAAGAATGGATAAGAGTGACGATACTTTTCTTCATAGGGTAAGAGGGACGGGTGACATTTTTGTTGATCATCAAGCACCTACTATGCAAACCTCGAATCATGGATTGTGTGATTGTGTTGTATTTATGGTACATTAAATGGCCACCTACACTAGCACTTCCTATATATTTTGGTTTCCTTCAAAGATGGATAAAGTAAATCACAGAGCGTCCCTCTTACTCCTATATATGGAGAATAACTTACAAAATGATAATATAACACCCTCTTAATTTATATATGAAGAATAAATAGTACATCTTAGTTTGATTACAATGAGTTTTTTATTTCGATTTTGATTTTGAATTTTGGTGATTAGGGTTTGGATTTGGGTTGATTTTAGGTTTGTCGATGTGTTTTTTTTTGCCTTTGTATATGTTTTGGTGTGTGGTGGTAACTGATAAGAGAAAAGTTGATCGTTGGAGAAGGTGCCCGTGAAGGGGTACTGATTGGAGAAGATTCCAAAGCGGGGAGTGTCTAAAGATGGTTACTGGTGTGGATGATTTTTGTTTTTAGGCATTAAATGCTTTATACTCTTGTACATAAGTCACCCAAAGTTGTACATTAGAAAAATATTAAAGAAATAAACCATAAAAATACCCTTGATTCAATGAAACTAAGGTTCACAAAATTAGGGGCAAGAGATCTAATATGTAAGAAAAGTGAAACCATAATGATTGATCAACTGTACACGTAATTATTTCTTTTGGGGAACCCAATCCAAAATTTTCATATAACCACATATAAGAATGTTCATGAACGTAAATGAACGAACGAAACCATTGTTCACGTTCGTTCATTAACTAAACGAACAAAAAATGTGTTCATATTGGTCCATTTATTCAATAAATGAGGAAAATAATTGCATAGAAAAACTTCCGAACATTTATCATATGTGTCAATATCAATGGTGACTCATAACTTTCGACGGAACGTTTCACGAACTGTTAACTGAATGTTCAATTTGTTTACAATGTTAATCAATATTTGATTGACTGGGAAAAGGTTAGTAATTTCCCAATTCTGATAATCAAATTAAAAAAAAGTAAACTACAAATTTGGTCCCTATAGTTTATTGAAAGTAACACTTTTTGTCTATATAGTTTCAAAATTACAAGATAATCATAAAAACGTTCAGATTTGGTCCCCATCTAATGAACGTTAAAAAATTCCCTTAAATGTGGGCCATTTTTTTTTTCCTTTTATCAATTTTTTTGTGTTATACCTAACGAAAATCAGTTTTATGATTTTGGTCCCTATGATTTTGATTGATAAAAGGACAAAAATGCCTTCTATTTAATAGAATTCTTTTACGGTCGTTAGAGAAAGGGACTACATTCATGCATTTTACAAATAAAACGGTGATCATTTTATAATCTTAAAAGTACAAAGGCGAAAAATGTTGTTTTTAACAAATAACAAGGACCAAATTTGTAGTTTACTCAATTAGAAAGAAAATAAAAATTGAACAAGATTTCATTGATTAATTTGAGGGTATATGAACATCAACCAGTGAACGGACTACGACAAATGGGAAGCATAACTCCCTGTGAGACCGAAGAAAAATGGGAATTGAAGTGGGGGAGTCCTCCGGCGCCGAGACTAGTAGCAGAGAAGATGCGGATCCTGGTACCGCCCCAACCAGTACCTCTAACCCTATACGCCGGCGTTTCCCACTGGCTGCTCAGCCGGAGGTGATGAGAGCGGCCCAGAAGGACGACCAATATGCTTCTTACGTCTACGAGGCCTGTCGTGACGCCTTTCGCCACTTATTCGGTTTTTATCTTTTCATCTCAATTTAGGGTTTTGTGGTTTCCAACTTGATACCAACTTCCTTCCAGCTATATAGTTATATGTATGTATTTAATCATCAACAAAGGAAGCATTTTAGGTTCTTTCTAACTTTTATCTTGATGCTGTTTCAGGTACAAGGGCTGCTATATCGTACCAGAGCGAGGTTCGTTACTTTTCTTAACTATACTTTGTGTTTCTCAAAAGTTGGGCTATATTTATTATGTTATTTGTAACCGGAATGGGGGACTGAGGGGAAACTGACTTGATGGGCAGGGGCGGAACACAAGCTTTCCAACCGTTGGGCCGGACCTGATATATTATATATTTTCAAAAATATAAAAAATATACAATCCGAAGTTAAAACGAAGTAAAACTCTAAAATTAGACGTCAAATATGAAAATGTCAAACATCGCTAATCAAAGTGAAACTCGTCGATCTTGTCTTCCACAATTTTCTTGAGCGTTTATGCTGTAGTATCACGCACATGAACAAGTCCAAAGAAACATTCTATAATGAATCCCTCTTTATGAACAAATCTCAAAACAATAGATATTTGCTCTTTTATGAGACTCATCCCGTGCTTCGTCAACAAGTAAACAAAACCTTCGACCACCAATCTCCTCACAAATTATTTGTCTCACCTTATTTGATATAAGATCAAATTTTTTTTTTGAATCAACGGTGATGTGTATGATGCATATTTGGGAGCACACAAAATAACTCTTTAAGCTCAATGCTAAATTCACCAAGTGCCCCCAACATTTCAAGAAAATTCCCCTCGTTAATGGAATCTAACTTTTCATTTTGGCCTCTAAATGCAACCACTTGAAAGGCTCATTGGCTCAAGTAATAGCATTTTAAACTCAATCAAAGTATCAAACAAATTTGAACCTTATCATTAATCAAACAATTTCAAACAATAGCATCTTAAAACTTGAATAGAAATATAGAATGAACCCCCCCCTGTGATTTAGGGGATGTAATCGGATTATTTAATGAAGATTAATATAAAATCACAGAGATTCCACTTGCATTTGGATTTGGTTCTTCATGTTGCTCTTCCATGGAGATTGGAGACTAGAGAGGGTGAGACCGCGAGAGGCTGGAGGTTGAGACTTGACTCACTCGAGAGTGGGCAACGCGGGGAGGGAGGATATATCAACAAGTCTGTAATTTCAATAATGGAGACTGGAGTTTGTAATTTTGTTCATAAGTTGCTCGCGTAAATTTGTTGGTCGATATGGTCATGTGGGCATGTGGCGATGAAGAATCAACAACTTTAGACTTTAGTTAGGTTGGATTAAAAGCTTAATGGACTCCAGTGCAGGGGGCAGATTAAAAAAATTGGAATTAACAATTAAAAGCCCAAAATATGTATACTTAATGAATCAAAAAACCAGGGGCCATGGCCCCTAAAGGCCTATATGGCCTTCTGCCCCTGTTGATGGGTGTGGAGAGAGGAGTCGAGGTGGAAGATGGGGACGGTGACTCCAAAGTTGGCGCAAGATAGGAGAAAGATCAAAGTACAACTCGAGTAAGTCATAGGAGAGTGGTTGAGTTGGTGTCATTGAGCCAAACAGGAAGACCGATCATCTTGGGAAATAATTATCCTTTTGGAGGGGAGGTCAAGACATTGATAACCACGGTGATTAGACGGTAACCAAGGAAAACACATGGGGTAGTACGAGGAGCAAGTTTATGAGGTGGGAAGATATGTAGATAATACAGACAACCAAAAACGCGAAGATGTTTATAAGATGGGCGTTTGTTAAAGAGTTTGGTGAATGGGATGACATTTAAAGAGTTTGTTAAAGAGATGGAGGGTAACAGATTAAGTAAGTGGGTGGCCATGTGAAGAGCCTCGACCCAGTAGGTAGGAGGAAGATTAGCTTGAAAGAGGAGTGTCCGTATGATGTTGATTGCATGTACATTCGTTCGGATTTGCCATTTTGTTGGGATGTTTTAGGACATGAGAAATGAACTTGTATTCCATTACTGGCAAATAAATCATGTAGTCTGGAGTTGTCAAATACACCTTGTGAATTGTGATCACATTGAAAGGATTTAATTTCACGCCCAAACTGTGTTTTGACGATATTCAACAAAAGATACTTGGCGGTTTATACGTTCTATCACCGTGAGCTCGGAAATGAAGAAATTTGTTGAATGCATCTGATTTATGACGTAAAGGGTAAACCCACAAGAAATGCGAACAATGATCCAAAAATAAAGCATAATATTTAAGACCACTAGAATTGGAAATAGGAGATGTCCACAAATCAGAATGAACAGTGTCAAATATGGACTCGACTATAGACTCTGGTCTCTGAACGATGAAAAGGAAGCCTAACATGTTTGCCAAGCTGACAAGTGTGACAAAACATGTGAGTCTTCTCTTTATTACAAGAAATAAAACCATTAGATACTAAAGACCGCAACACACTGTCACCGAGATGGCCCAAACGTTGATGCCACAAGGACGAACTCGTGGAGAGGAGAGCAAAGGAAGATGAGGCAGGAATGACGAGGTAGAGATCGCCAGTTTTGTCACATATGAGAAGAGTTTGGCGGGTCTGGAAATCCTTCACAGAAAAGCCAAAAGCAATCAAACTCGATTGAACATTTATTATCTTTGGTAAATTGACAAACATAGATAAAGTTTTTGATAATATTGGGCGTAATAAGGAGGTTATGAAGGTGTAGTGGGCGATGAGGGTTGGGGTTCGGTAGGTCGGTGTGCCCCATATTAACAACAGGAATGGAAGACCCATCATCAATAAATACAAATTTAACATTGCTCTTATTTAAAATGGTTTTGAGTATACCTGTATTAGAGGCATCAGAGGCAAGATGAGATGTGGCTTTGGTGTCCATATACCAACCTGCACCGCCAGGATTGTTCAAAGAGAGTGTATTGAACGCTTGAGGTAGAGTCGTGGGCTGATTATCAGACACTTGTGGGAACCACTGCCACGGAGGTGGTGTAGGAGAGGTCGATGCAGTAAAGGCTTGGGGTCCAGATCCAAGGATACATGCAGTGTGGGAGGAGGCCGGAGGGCCTTGGCGCTGCTGCTGTTGTGTGGCTGGGGCCGGTAGGCAGGCCACCGTGGTGGTGAAGGCCACCTGTACATGCCCCAAGGATAGCCAGAAAACTGCCCTTGATGAGTTTCTAAAAGAGGTTGTGATCTTTGATCATTACGACGGTCGTTGCGGCGGTCAATGCGACGATCAGAATTCCATCGTGGGTTGAGTTGCTGGTATTGAGAACAGTAAGAGAGGAGGGATGAGCATGAGGTGTTGTTGAATTGCTTGGAGATTGAGACAACCGTTGTTCCTCTAGGAGAAGCATCAACCGGTCTTGGAGAAATGACGGTAATGGTGACCTATGTCGGATTATTCTTGCTATGGTGTCGTACTTATTGGACAACCCATTGATCATGTACGTGACGAGATGTTTCTTGGATACGGTAGCATCAATGTTGGCTAGGAGATCTGATATGGTTTTGAGGCTTTGACGATAATCGGTGATGGAGAGATCTCCATCACCGTAATGTTTCCCAGTTTGTTGTCAAGTTGAATCGCACGTGCATCCTTATTGTCTCGAAATAGATTCTCAAGGCTTTCCCAAACTGTGCGAACCATCACGCCTTTCTTCAGAATCATCTGCAGCAGGTGCTTCGAAATGGTTCCATAGATCCACAAGTTTATGGAGTCGAGCTTGTTCTATTCAGTGTCATTGGTGTCTTTTGGCTGAGAGGAACCATCCACGTGACCGAGAACCCCAAAACTCATACAGTGAATTTGAAACAGCTTTCGTCACGCATCATAATTGAGTTCGTCGAGGTTAAGCGTAAGAGGAACGAATGCCTTGATGTAGGTTTTTCAGTGTTTCCTGCCATAGACGTAGAGAATGGATGGAAAAGAGAAGGAAGGGAGGAGGGGATTAGGTTTTAGGCCGTGAGAGGAGGAGGAGATCAAATAAGGATTGGAAGGAGAAACGGTTATGATTATGGAGAGTTTCTCTGATACCATGAAATCAGGTCCTTCCAATCACATTGACACCCCATAAATAGGAGAATACAAGGAATGGGTTAGACTACAGATTGGGCCTAGCTATACATAATGCAATATACACACTGAAATACATACATTAATAGAATCTCCTTGTGCTTGCACTTTCATCGGATCATATCAAATCAAATTTGGCCAAAATACACAAATGCACACTATCCCTGGTCAAGTCTCATGCACTAACAAAGTATTTTATTGACTAGCTAGTTTTCAGTTATGTGCTTTATAAGTTGAAGCAGGATTTGGGTGACTCTGCCCCGACAAACCATGATTTTCTGTAGACGAGGGGGTTGGAGTGGGTGATTAGTAATGGTTTGGTTTGGTCGATTTAACTAGCTAGTATAATTCAAACAAAATATGGACCTTAGATGATTATATTTATTTCAACTATGCTGCATGTCTAATTTTGAGCACCTTCCTTACTTAAAAAAATCTGCCTCTTCAAAAGTATTTGATTTTATTAGTTCTTTGGCATCTTATGAATCAAGAAAACAAGCAACAATCGGAAGTTCTTCTCTTCAACATAGTTCCTGTTTTCGCTTCGCTGTTTACTTAAAGCCTAATGTGATTCTCTAATGTGCTGTATATACCCACTATTTCTCTGTCTTTCTCAAAGCATCAAACTTTGGCATTTTAGCAAAAGGATGGTACAGTTTACACATGTGATTCTCTTCTGTGATTCTCATTTTACAAATTAAAAGTGTTTATCTACATGTATCCTAAATTTAAAATATTGGACCATATACCCTATTTACAAACTGGTGTGAGTATCTTTGGAATTAGTTTATTGATTTCTTTCAGTATTCTTAACTTCAGAGTATATTATTATGCAGACAAAGCTTTTGGGTCAGATGCTCTATTATATTTTAACAACAGGGGCAGGGCAGCAGACATTGGGAGAAGAGTATTGTGATATCACACAGGTGCAAAGATTATAAATTTTGCTCTATACATGCTTTGTTGTCACTAGTTGATATACTTATGAAGATAAAAAAGCCATTGGTACGCAACTAACTCATCTTTGAAAGAATTTAATGGAGAATGAACAACTGGAGCATGGAAAGAAGTTATTGTGAAGCTGAATATCACACTTGCATAACTGAATATTTTTATAATCTATGTTTCTTCGTACTTCAATTGCCAATGCTGTTATATATTGGAAGTTTCAACTGTACTCTCTTTTCTATCTAGGATCAAAGTTTACAATTAACAGGAGTATTTTAGATAGATGACTAATATTTTACATGAAGACAAGTAAAGGGTGCTTGTAGCCTTGTATCATCTTTAACAGGATAGAGAGCTCCTGTTCAATTTTAGAACGAGTTCTGCTTTCAAACCTTGAAAGTAATGTTCTATTTTTTGTTTTCTTTCTTCTGCTTGGGTGTGGATCGAGACTTTTGGAGTTGGAGCTTCTAAATTAGTATTACAAAAAAAAAACTGCATCTCAAAATGAGGAGCTTACCTATCTACAGATACAAATTATGACAAGTCAGCAGTGCCATCATAATATGCTGGAGTCCTCGCAAGTGAAACCACCAAAACTCCGACATTCTGATGGCTATCTTGGAATTCTTTTGACTTTGTGCGAAGTTATGTTCGTCATGTTTTTTTTTGCATCTGTTAGAATATATTTTTGCACGGGTTCATCATCTCATGCCATTCGTCTTCATTCTTTTATCCTTATGATGATCCGATGTAATACCCAAAGGTTTCATCTCTTACATGAGGTGGCACCTCTATTTCTAGCGGAGTAATAAGGATCACATCACATTTGCCAAAAGTAGAAATGGTTCAGGCTCTATTCATGTGCTCGCATTCTTGGTTTCTGTCATCAATCCCATTTCATCCTATCCTTGCATCATGGAGAGATCCCAGAATGAAGATGAAGGATGGAGAAACTGGGCTAATTTAATTGAGCCTCCACATCTGTTTATGGCAACAGAAAGCAACAGCCTGTCTCAACATGATCTAATAAAGTCAGGCATGTGAGCCTACATATGGTGTAGAACCTGGAATTAACCAAGACTGATTCATTTATCTTCTTTCAGATGCTCCACTGGGAACGGATATTTCGTTTATTCATTATTTATCTGTATCGGTTAGATTAAGGACAGACAATTAATTGCAATGAACTCTGGAAAAATTCTGTACCTTTTCATTACGGGTTAATGCATTGTATAACTACAAACTTATTCGATATAGGAAACTAGCAATTGAAAGGATCTGTATATAATATAGGTAGATCTTGAATGCAATGGCAAGAAAATTCAAAGTTTACACAGGCTAAATTATATATTATCTCGAATATTGTTTGGTAAAAAGCAAATGGTTATATAATAATATGAACGTACTTTTGAGGGATCAACATGTCATGAATGATCTTCACTTCACATGTCATGTTAAAGTTTTTGTGAGCTATGGAGTGGGAAATAAAGCTTGGCTTTCTGAATTGCAAGAAAACTATGGATACTCAAGAAGAAAGTATGAAGTATTCTGTTGATTCATTTGTAACAGTACTTCTACTAATATTTCCTAACCGATTCTGAAATTCGTTAAGACAGAAATACATTGAAGATCATAATGTATTGGATCACACACATTAGGTCAGTTTGCATGGTATTTATTGGGTTCGTTTGATTTGGTCTAGTTTACCCATTAGATCAGTTTGAATAAGCATCTTCCATCAACATAATATGTCTTCTTGAATGAAAATCAAGATTCTTCTTCAATTGGGCTATATATATCCTAAATTTGGCCAAGTTGCATCTATTCAATGCTGCTAAGTTTGTAATATCATAGGTATCAAGTTCTTTTAGAAGATTGACATTATACTTGCAGGTTGCGGGATTATATGGACTTCCTCCAACACCAGCAAGACGTGCCCTTTTCATTGTCTACCAGAGTGCAGTTCCCTACATTGCCGAAAGAGTCAGGTTTAGTTTTTTCTTACTAATATTTGTGGTCTATAACTGTAATGTTGTTAATCTCTATGTAAACAGATGCACTTCTTGAGTTTCTTTGTAGCTATGAACTCTGTCAACCATGTATTTTGCAGCTCTAGACTTGCTTCCCGTGGCATTGCCTTGACCGAGTCACTGTCCGATGATCTACATGGGGACACTGCTCGGAGCAGCCAAGGTCAAGAATCTGTGGTTCAAGCTTCTTCTCATTTACCAGTAGTTCCTATTTCACGTTTATCAAGATTTAAAGAGAAAATTGGTGGGCTTTGGTTATACACAGTTCAGAGATGGCCTGCAGTATGTCATTTCCCATTTATTCTGATCTAATAGCACATCTTACTTATCATATATGATGATTTGCACTCAGATGTAGTTACAGCAACCACAGAAAAAACATTAAACCGTATAAGTTGGTTGCTTTGTCTGTTAAGAGTAAATATTGGTATTTAGAGCCTTCCTTTTAATATGAAACCAGACATGGGATCACTAGAGTGTTTATGCATCAAAGAATTTTGTGCAGATTGACCTTTTGTAGAAGTCTACATTGACAAGGACAAAACATTGTGGGCAAACAGAAAATTCTTTTAATCTGTTATTAGGACTTTTTGTAATTATGTTTTGTGTATGATAACAAGACTTTCAAGTTAGTTTGGTATGATTAGCTATCTTTTTTATCCAAATGTAATTGGGGTTTATATTTATTCTATTAGTTAATGCAATCATCAACCTTACAGTATTGGCTATTATGATATAATAAACAAATAAAATTGAGATTCATCAACCGGTAGGTGTGTTGTCTTAGTTAACTTTGGCCAAGATGCTAGAATTCCAAGGCATTTTATGGCTTAGCACCCTTGGATCAGTTTTATTGTACTTCCCTGATTCCTTTGTAATGAAGTTGTCCGAATTATACAGGATATTCTAATGAACATTTTATTTGAGTTGACTTTCGTATAGTACGCAATGGGTCACACCTCACAAGTTGCAACCATCTTTCCGCCAATGGTTTTATATTTTCCTTTGATGATGGCTATTGCTTTTTATTAACCAGGTGCTTCCCTTAGCTCGTGAGTTTTTGCAGCTGGTTGTTCGTGCTAATCTTATGTTCTTCTATTTTGAAGGTAAGTATTTCTGGATGTACGTGGAGACACAACATTTTAGCTCTAACAATGTACCAAGCAACTTGATTATATTGCAGGTCTATATTATCATATATCAAAGCGTGCAGCAGGCATTCGTTATGTTTTTATTGGAAAGCCGATGAATCAAAGGCCTAGGTATTTTCTTACCTACATTAAATTCCAACAGACTTGTTAAGATGCATAAGATGCCCATGGGTTGTTGGCAATTTTGCTCTTGGGTGGTGGGGAATGAGAGAAATCTTAGATTATCTTCTCCCACCCTGTCCAACGTACCAAACGCACCCTAAAGAGCTTGTCATGCACATCTCTGAAGAAACTAGCCCCCTACTCTTCTCTGCCACAGCAACTCACATATATGCATGCCTCATTACCTACTTTACTTGCATGCATGTAGATGAGTGTTGAACCCCTTGACGATTCGAGGAGTTCTCTCAGCGAGTGCCAAACTTTCTGGCAGTAAACATGGTAAATCTTGTGTCCTAGTAGTTGAAGTTAGGGCTGAACTCATACTAGGATCTTGATTTTTTAGTGAAGCAAATGCAGCATCTCATGCTTGATGGTCTCATGATTTTATTGAAAGTTATCAATACAATTTGTTTTGTATGTAAGCCTACTTGTATCATGCATGCATTTGAGTTCTCCTTTTCTAATTGAGCAGGTCACGTTATACCTATATTGATTACACATTTTGGTAGATGGTTAAATATGATATATCAACTTCTTGAATGTTCTATAATGCAGATACCAAATATTGGGCATGTTCCTATTGGTTCAGTTGTGTATTATTGCTGCTGAAGGATTGCGGCGTAGCAACTTATCATCTATTACATCTTCAGTTCAGCATACATCTTTAAGGGTCCACCAAGCATCAGCAGGTCTTAATTTTCTTCATAATAACTATAGTTCATCATTTCCTTGCAAATTTTTGTCATTGTGGTATGCGCAAATATCATTATAGACTTGCTAGTTACTTCCTGAACAAAACCAAACCAAACGAACATAGTAAAATCCCCACATGAGTAGGATCTGGAAGCGTAGGATGTATGGAGACCTTACCTCCACCGTAAGGGATAAAAAGGCTGTTTCCATGAGACCACGTGGCTTGTGAAAATGTTTTATAAAAAAGAATATGTTCTTACTAGTTGCTTCCCAAAAGGAGCAAATTCGGGACTAAGTAACTTAAAGATAAGATATAGGTGTTATTGAGTTCCTATTTGTCTCACAAAATAAGGATGTTTGTGAAAAGCTTAAGAGAAGGATGCAATAGAAGTATCTTTCTTATTGATTAAGGATTAGAGTCACACAAAGACCTTTCGTGAAAGAGAAGACACGCTCAAGAAAATAAGCATCAATCATGATAATTTTCTCAAGAAAAGGACCAACACATGCCACTGGAACACTATGCTGAGACCAAAATTGATTGTCAAGAACGTACAAGAGGTAGGATGGGTTGTTCAGCTTGCAGAGGATGTAGGAGCAGGCCCGGCCCTAAGGGTGGGCGTCACGGGCAATGTCTGGGGCATTAGAGGCGCAAGGGGGGTCAATTGGGCCTTGGCACTTCTAGTAGTACTATTAGAAAACATATAAATAAAATGTGCAACAATAAACCTCGTACTCAAAGACCTTTATGTAGATTTATAAAACAACTTCCACTACTTTGTTGCTACTTTTGTTCACTTTCTTTCCTCAAGTTGATTTTATTACTTTCCTTCCTATCCCTTTGTATTTTGCCTCCATTTTATGTCAACAAATATTAAAATGAAAAAAAATAAAAACTAAATAAAGTTAAATCACATCCAACAAGTAATATCTTGTACGAGTTTTTGTCTTGAAACCTTTGTAATATCAATTGAAAATTCATTATATTTGTTCAACGCATTTATTTTGTCAAATATGTTTCCCTTTTCTCTCTGTGTATATATATATATATATATATATATATATATAATGTTTCATGTTTGTCAAAGAAGTTTAGTTTTCTAAAAATTTCAATAGAATTCTTGTAAATAATGCTACTCATGGACCAATTTTCTAATAACTTGGCCTTTTCCATTCATAATCAATAGAAAGTATTAATTGTTATATGCAATTATTTTTATTTTGTTTCAGATGAATATGTTAACATTAAATCAAATTATTTTTGTATATTTATTTCAGATAAATATGTATCTGTTTGAAAATTGACTTAAAACACAACCGTTTTGAGACCTAACTACTCTACAAGCAATCATATAGAACATTCTTGTTTTAAATGAACATGTACCAAGTTCTACCACATGCTAAATGTAGTTTATTTTCAATTCATTTAAAATGGTTTTTTGACAATATGACTACTAATTTGCATTTATATGAAGTTGTAAGAATTAAAAACTATTGAACAAAGGTTTTTATGTTATCTCAAGAGCAAATTATGTGCGGATTTGTTGCTTGGTAACATCAACTTCAACATTGTTACCAATTACAAAAAACTTGGTGTATTTTCTAATAATAGGGGCATTTTTTAGTGTTTTATCCCTGGCACTAAAAACATCAAAACCCCTGGGTAGGAGGTCATTTTGAAATCGCTACTCACTAGTAATTGCTGGTTAGCCATAAGGAGGGGAGTTCGTTATCAGGCTTGGCGGGGACAATGACTATGGTTAGAGAGCTAGATCGGCAATGAAGCACCTTTGAGAAAGGGGTCTCATTCTCTACATACTCAAAATCCTAAAGCCTAGGCTCATAAGCAAACATTAGATTAAACTTGAACAAAAAGAAGCAGGTCATGGCTTGTAGAAAGTGTATCAGTGAGGATGTCATTTCTATGTTTAAATACACATGATTTTCTATATGGGGTATAGTTTTAGTTGTTCTTAAATATTGTTGTTTGCTATGCAAATAAAAACTAAAGCTCAATTCACATTTTCTCCACTTCTAAGTCACTAGGTTTAACGTAATGCTTGTCATTGTCTCTTCTTTACAACATTATGGTATTGGAATAAACATTGCAATATCTATGAGCCACTTACAAGTGCTTAAGTAAGCGTGTTCTTCGTAAATCTATTAGTTATGGCTTTGTATTTTGCAAAGCATGTACTTGTTTCTTGATAATCTACAATTCTACATAATTCCTAGCCAAGATGTGAGATATGGACAGCTTACCATTATGCTATTTCCTGCCCAATTAACATTCAAATGGCTCTTTTATAGCAAACCAAACGCACTAGTGTTACATGTATATATGTACACACACACACACATATTAAAGCCATTAGGATCTTGTGAGGAGTGCACTTTACGCCCTTGAGGAACATACTCATCTGGTAAAGCCCCTTTGGTTCTTTTGAAAGAAATGTGCCCGGGGAACTTAGCAATTCACTTAACCGATCATCTTTAGAGGAACTTGTGCCACGAAAACCTTGCATCACGGAAACCATCTAGATTGGAACCTTTGAAAGATGAATTTATAATTGTATCCCTGACCATGAAAACACAATCCAAATTGGCAAGCTTTTGAAAGATGAATATATTAATTTGTATTCTTGGGACATGATAAGCCAACTTAAGATAGGGGAACCTACTTTTTTCTATTGAAAACCCATATGTTGAGAACTTTTTGCAGCATTTAGTCTTGGGCACTCATTGTCCATAGAGAATTCCTCAAAATATGTAAATGAGAAAGTGTAGTAATGCGTGATTTCTACTCTATTGCAAATGAAAGTAGAGATCTTGCTAGTTAGGATTATGATCTTTAAAGTGAATAATGTAACCACACATCAGAATTCTCTAACGACAAATACTTCTGTTGGAGTGATAATCCTAGTTGGTTTATAATATATGTCCTAGTTGGATCTGAATACTTTGTTTATACTTTATAGTCTATACTTTGTTTCCAAGTATGGAGTAATCTATCTCTCCATGAATGGATGCTCCTTATGTATGCATTATATCACATACGTAGATGTATATATACACATACACATGCATGTATGTATATACATATATATACATTCAGATGTATGTATATATCTACACTAGTTGTGTACCCGTGCAAAGTAACAAGATGTAACCAATAATAAAATACATAAGGATACAAATCCCAAAATTTGTCACAATATCCGGGTCTAAAACAAAAATGCCTAATAATAATTTTATTTTTTTTAATCTAAAACATGTGAAAATTTTGTTTTGGGAAGACATTGTAGAGTACCGGAGGATCATATACCACAAAAAACTACATTTTTAATCATGGGTTTTAGCCCAATTAGTCCATGCAAAAGTCCCTTTACCATCAACACAACCAACTCCATAACTTTTGATTTACAAATATAAACCCTTGAAATTGATAACACATGTGATCCAAACTTGAATGTGATAGAGAGAAAAAATTAAAAATGGAAGTGAAATCCCATGCACTTCCCAAGCACCAAGTTATCAAAAGATCATCCCATATTTATCCACATATAAGAATACAAACTTGCATATCATCCCTTTACTTATTATGTTTCAAAGCTCCAAATCAAACAATAAAATTTTCTCCAACAATCTAAGTTGTGGTCGGTCTTCCAATGAAACAGAAAAAACATCATAGATAGGGTATCTGGATTGCTATCTTAGGGACCGTTTATCAAACGCTTACAGGGTAAGTGTTTACGGGCATAAATCACCACTCTCACTTATCTTATCAGGTTACATTCTAGGCCATGAAAATGAATTATTGGTAAAAATATCTTGCTCGGTAAGCTATAACCGGGTGAGAGTCTCTACCCTCACTTACCGAGGAAGATTATAGGTCCTTGCCATGCTCAACCAGTAAGGTAAGTGACACTCGATAATGGGTTTTTGATCCAAACCAAATAATGGAATCTTAATAATGGAAGGAACGACATAAATTTTTACCTTGGTTCCCTGACACATTTCCATGTACACAAGTCTTTGAAGCCAATTTACTCTTGTTCAGGTTACCAAGTTTCCAGAACAAAATATATAAGAATACAATCAAGTACAAGCTGCATGCAAAAAGAAAATTGGTAAAGGGACCAAAGCACATATCACCATTGATTCCTTTTACAAGGATGGTCAAATAGTTTAGCATTTTATATACTTGGATGAAAGGGGCATGAAATCATGCAAACTCTAAAAAATTGGGATAGGGGAGAAGGTTGAGAGAGCAGCGAGTATGGTCAACGAGATTGGAGTTCTCGGTTTTGAAATCAACAGTTTAAAGTAAATATTTTTCTAATGAATACATACAAATTTCTAAATCATTTTATTCTGAACATGATATTCTAGTGTAACATTATAGTCCTAATCGATTAAACAGATTATTTTTTAATACAAACTAACCCAACATAGAACAGTTTTATAGAAAATGGATTCTCATTGATGTGCTGAAGGTTTTCCATCATTCCAACCACATCATTTGTGGTGAAACTTGACGATCGTTCAATTTGAGTTTGTTTGGAAAGACGTCAAAGAAAACAAATTATTTTTTATTTTACTTGATCAAAACGCTAGATAAATATAGTAAAACTATTCAGATTTCAATTTCATGACAAAAGTTATTATTTGCAATTTATTTGACAAATATTATGTTGTATATTAGAGAGACAAAATGGCAGTAATCATTCTATACCATTCATTGCAATTATGCAAAAAAGGAATTTCATTGGAAGTGTAGTTTCTTTGGATCATTTCTAAGTCGTAAGAATCTACTTGGCTTTCTCATGTATGAAAGTAATTTAATCTTGTCCATGGTGAATATGTAATTCTTATGAGCATTGAGCAAGGACACGAATAATGACACTGAAATGATTTTTCATTTTATCCATTTGTGCTTTCAATTAGAACACATATTACACCGAATAAAATCTACCATTCTCCATGTTGATATTTGGGTTGAAGATAATGACACACTAAGAGAAGTATTATTGTGCATTGGAGGTCTAGAAATGGTCAAAAATATTCAACTTCACTTTGGTTGTTATGATCCATTGTCTTACCCTTTGTAATTTCCCAAGAGTAAGCATGGATAACATTCTAAAGTACCAAGGCATGGAGTGTCTGTTAATCTAATTGTTAATAATGACATCATCGAGGAAGATCCTTAAGTGAACATATAGTTAATTTATAATTTTCAAAACATTGACATTACACGGAGGCTGAAGCAAGAAGGGATAGGATTGCTATGACTATGCTCGAGTACTAGTGTTACAAGTTTTAGATCCCATCGAATGAGAATGTGATTCTACTTGGGTCGGGGAGATGATTACGATAGTTTGTGGTAGATATCTACATCAAAACTGATAATTCACATTTGGTTTTTTGTGAACAAAACCATACCAAGGAACATTGAATTTATACTAAAGTAATGAGCATTGCATCAATGTCAGTGAGGTTCAATCAAATAGAGTTGGACAATAGGTTGTGTTGCTTGCAAGTTCATTGGTGGCCCACATGACATTGATGACATGACGTTAGTTCAAGATGATAGGAAGCCTAATATCTTTTTTAGTGTGATATGTAATCCAAAGTGGTCTGAAATCCTTAATGAGCTATTGTCCTACCAGACCACACATAATCGATGATTGGATGTTCCCCAAATGGGTACTATCGGGTCGAACGAATTTAATAATAGACGCCTGTTGGCATTCCAACCTTCCTTCGCCTTTCATGGCCACATATATTTCTGGCTAAGGAACAGGAAATCCTTCTCTTGTTCCATGAATCCAATTTGCATTCGTTTGATTTCTTTCTAATGCAGTAAATCCGGTCACAGATCTGAGTTGCAAGAGTTTTTCATGTGAAATTAGAAGATTTGAAGGAACAACATTTCAAAAAACACATTCTTTGCATGGTCAAGGCATATATTTATGTCGGCAAGTTTCAAAAGTGTTGTCTGCCACATTTGCATTTCCTCTTGATGATGAGAATTGAACATAAGATTGACAGACCATAATCGGTGGATCGTTGCCCGTTAAGGAGATCATTGATGTATTGAGAAAGCCACTTCGAGATAACAAGTTACCTCCATATCTTACAAGGTGGGTATGATTGACATCCATGATCCCATTTAGATGTGTAAATGAGCGTAGTCGAGTAGTCGAGTTGAGTAGCTGGTTGTTCAACTTGGCTCGAAAAATGATATCAGGCTCGAGCTCAAATATTTTTTCAATGTTTTGGTGGAATCCCTTGCAATTAAACATCGTCTTAGTACTTAAATGGACCAAACCAATGTCATTAAGAGCAAGCTTATTGAACGAAAGTAACTAATAACAAAACGAAATGGCTGGCCTACGTTAGACAGGTCTTCTGTGTCTTCTAAAAAACACTAATAATGCTCTCAATGAAATAATTTGTTGCCTGCTCCTAGTTTGGTTTAATATATATATATATATATATATATATGTATGTATGTATGCATATATATACATATATAAAGAGAGAGGGAATAAGCCTTTCCCTTGTTATTAAACCCTAGAGTAACAAGGGTCAAGACCCAAGCCTCTTAGATCCTCCTCTCATTGACATGGTTTCCTTGTCGACAACTAAGAGAACCAGTAATGTGGTGCCTCGTGAGTTGTTGTCAGATATAAAAACACAACCCCTTTGCTCTCTCATCTTTCAACTCTGCCTACATTTATCTTTGTATTTCCTTGTGGTTGTCTCTCCTAGATATGGTTCCTGTCGTTAATAGCCTCTTAATGACCTCTTACTTGCTCGCTCAACCATTTTCATTTCCTCAAACCGTTGTCAAAAATATGGCGCCTTGCTAGTTCCCATGCTGTTATACGGAGCAATTCCGCTGTCCCCTGTTTGTTTGTAATTTCTACTTAAAAAGAGGAGGTAAAGATGGATGCTTTTAGATATTGGTTCCTCCATAGTTGCAGCCTTTTTCTTTTATTTGCTTGTACTTGATCCCTCTTTGTGTTTTCTTGTAATCCTTTACAGCTCATTCACGTTGTTGGTTTCATTTCTATTTATTCTCCATGTTTTTCAGGTCGAGGTTTTCCTGTTTTAAACGAAGAAGGAAATTTGATTACTGAAAAGGGTTCAGACTCCATGACAACTGCAGAGGTATGCTTCTGGAATTTAAACCTTTTAACCAGGCACTTTTGATGACTCAAATTTTTGGAGTTTCAAATTTACGCGTAATGGTAGAAGTCTTGATACTTTTCATTCCACCTTGTATCAAACAATCACCGGTTTGTTTCCATGAAAATTCTTAGAATCTTCAAATTTCACCATGTCCGTTAACGTACACATGCAAACTCTTGCAGAGTGGGATCAGCAAATGCACACTCTGCCTTAGTAATCGCCAAAATCCAACTGCAACTCCTTGTGGTCATGTGTTTTGCTGGTATGTATTGCCACTTTACACCTACACCTCTCTCTCTCTCTCTCTCTCTCTCTCTCTCTCTCCCTCTCTCTCTATATCTATCTATCTATCTATCTAAATATCTATATATATATATATATATATGATTTTGGCTGTTGTGTGTAGGAACTGCATCATGGAATGGTGTAATGAAAAGCCCGAATGCCCTTTGTGTCGTTCTCCTCTAACTCATTCAACCTTAGTTTGTTTGTACCATTCAGATTTTTAACACCTAATTATGCCCCGCTTGAATCAAAAGGAAAAAGACTACTGGAAAGCAAAACAGTTGCTTTGAGATGGTTGTGTACCAGACCAAAAAGGCAGGCCAGATCTCTCTCATGAACCAGTTGCTTATGTCTCGGAAGCTTTTATAAATTTTCCTGGCTCCTTTGCATCAATCTAAATCTCCTTTTTTATATTAATTCTGCAGGTTATGTTCTATGTAAGCATATTTTATAGTGTAAAATTATTTTTACAATGATGGTAAAAAGTGGAAGTCATATAGGCACAAAAAAAGGCTTTAGTATGTTTCCTATTTTACGAGTATCAACGACTAAAGGCCGTTTATTAAACATTTACGGGGTAAGTGGTTACCAGGTCAATTACCTTATCGGTGAGCATAAATCTTACTTGGTAAGAGGGAAGGCAAAGATCGAGTTTGTTTGGCAGTTGATTAAGTGGTTCGGTGCAGAATGATTAAAAGACTCTTATGATACAGTGCGAATTGAAATATGGTTTGGTAATTGTTCAGAATGAAATCAGGGCGCTTAATGATTTAGGAGATTCAAGATACAAAATCATTTAGAGGGTTTTAGAACCATTAAGAGACGAGTTTTTTTTTTGTCAAACAAGATTCATCTTTTAGCGTTTCAGAGACTGTTTTTTAATGGAACTATTAAGACATAAACAAATAGCCTCTTGCCCAGTAAGCGAGGGCGGTGATTTTCACCTAGTAAGCGCTTACTAGGTGATAAAACACTTACCATCAATCAATTCAATTTTGATGTATAAGAATGTTAACCAATAAAGTAAGTAAAGTTGATAGACTCTTGATGGTAAGCACCTAAATGGAAAACATCTGGTGGATGACCCCTAAGTTATGCTTCTTGGATCATTCCTACAAAAATATTGTGGTTAACCTACTTACTACAGAAGAACAAATTGGGCAACCTACTAATTACAAGGTACACACCAAATGCACCAACGCATTAGTTTTGGAACATCTTTTTAGCGAGGAACTGAAGCCTAAACATGGATTTATTAAAATCAGTTTTACTTTCGAAAATGAATCTATTGATTCTCTCCCAATTGGTTGGACCATAGGTGTGATGATTTACTTCACGGGCAAGGTCTCTGGTTCAAGTCCAGGATCGCCCAACTGTAGGGAAAAGAATAGAAGAAATGTCTTCTTCATGCATGCTCCACTTGGCTCGGGGGATATAGCTTAGTTGGTACAGCTCTGCTCATGCAATTGGGTCGTTGTGATTACGGATTGGATGCTTAATTGTCCATGCGGTAATGATAGTATCTTGTACCTGAACCAATGACTCACTTTTTTTAAGTAATGGGGAAGAGGACCAAGACATGCCACTGAAAGGCTCTACTGAGACAAATATGAGATGTCAAGAACGTTAAGAACGTATACAAGGTAGAATGGGCAGTTGTTCAGATCTAGTATGGATCGTACATGGACGATTGTTGAAGTCGGCGGTTCTCCTATGGTTCCCTTATCGGGATCCCTGGAGAAGAGGATCAAGTTGGTCCTTGCGAACAACTTGATGCACTACCTCTCTTCAACACTTTGAGCGAAATGCAACAAAAGGAACCTTATAATATCTTTTTTATTATATATATATATATATATATATATATAGGTGAAGGATCGTGTGAGAAGTAGAGTTAAGCTGAGAAGCGTAAAAATGGATTTCCACCCTTGGATGCACCTTAGGATGAGAAGCACCGAGATGAGATACACCAAGATGCAACCAATCAATCTTCATATCAAGCAGACAAGCACCATTCATAGGTGAGTTTGAGATTAAAGGAGATCAATGGTCTAGATCATTTCTTACGTTTCTTATCTTAACTCTCCTCTCTCGATTCTTCCCCCACCTATCTCTCTCTCTCTCTCTCTCTCTCTCTATATATATATATATATATATATATATAGATAGATAGATAGATGAGTGATCATATGAAAACCGCCCTCATTTGTGTGAGAAGCGTAATAAGAGATCTCCACCCTTGGATCAATCCTAATTGAATGTCAACACCAATGAGGTGCACCGAGATATACCAGATCAATTCCCTTCTAAAGTACAATTCATGAGTGGACATGTGATTAAAAGTGATTAAGGCTTCAAATCTTTTGTTATGCTTATCACCTTAACTTTTTTTTATCATGCGATCGTTTGTGAAGAGAAGTTATGGTGAGAAGCGTAAAAACAGATCTGAACCCTTGATCATTTTTAATCACATGCTCACCCATGAATTGTGATTTAAAAGAGAATTAATCTGGTGCATCTTGGTGCACTTCATTAATGCTGACATTCAATTAGGATTGATCCAAAGATGAAGATCTATTTTTACAATTCTCATCATAACTTCATTTCTCATCGAAATCTCTCTCTCTTTATATATGGGCAGGTTCTTTCTTTAACTCAATAATTGGTGTTAATTATGTGAACCAATCTTCAACCTTGATTCTTAAAATCTATGGATGAGATCAATTGTGCATTTGTAATTAATTAAAAAATGAAGGATATCAAAACATAGGTGAACAGGGGTGTTACTGGGAGAGATGTCAAAATCGGTTACAAATCGATAATTAATTAATTACATCGGTTACAAATTGGTAATCGCTCATTCCTTTTATAGTTCGTAGAATCATCCGTGTTGCATTATGAACACTTTTGAATACATATGAACATATATGTAACTTATTAACTAATCTTGGTTCGTGGCTTTCACATATGAACATACGAGAACATTTATAAACACGTATTTGCACCTATTAAAACTTATGAACACTAAAGTAATTCGCTTTCATAAGTGAACACTATAATATATGATTAATTTTTTTTTTTGTGAACACATATCGACCAAATGTTAAATGTATATAGATATTGTTTTATGAACACATTAAAACACATATATATGTATATATAGATAATGTGAAGTTAAGACAAAAAAAAGAAGATTACCATTGTGTCATTAATATTAATTGTATGGTGATAGAAGAACCCAATCTAACAAAGGCTTGTGATTGGTCTAAATGGTTTGTATAGTTAATACATTTTTCATGGTTAACAAATGATCTTAGCTCTCTCTCTATATATGTATATATATTAGGGCGGACGATTTTAAAGCTGACTCCCCATTCATTAAATAGAGAAGATGACCGACCTATGATGTAGAAGATCATAACATAAGTGATTCTGCAGATTTTGAGTCCTATGTATTTGAACCGGAGATCTCCCCCGTGAAGTAAATCATCATACCTACGGTCCCTCTTAGGGATAAGAGACATAGGGCTAAAAAGAGAGAGAGAGAGAGCCAAAAACGGATCTTTCATGTATAATCATGCATTATCTCAATAGATGATCGAGTCGATTATATGATAACAACATATATCTTCCAAAATAAACAATCTCATGCAGATCTTCAAAAGCAGATATCAGGTTAGGAAAATAATCATATTTTCCCCTTCCCTTTACTATCTCTGGACCCCGCAATTCCTGCATTGCATATTTTTAAAACAGAAAATGAGGGTTAGACCAGAAGGGTCTAGTGAGTAAATCATTTCTTTGCATATGCAGGGTGATAAACACCAAAATATGATAAAATATCTTTACTCAAGAATATTTGCATTTCAGCCAAATAATGCAGTTTTCAATATAATGAATGATAAGATCAACTTATTAATATCAATTCTTGATGCAAGTGCACCTATTCAAAGATCCAAATTTCCATAATGGAATTAACATTACGGCCAAAGCCTCTCTGACTCAACGGGCTAGAGCTTCTCTGGTTTTAAAAGACCAAAACTCCTCTGCATGAATTACAATAGTAATAGAAAATTTAGGCAATAAATGCCTCTTACGACAAACCGTTTTCCCCTTCTCAATAATATCTAAATTATTATTTATAATAAAAATAATATCTCTAATTCATCAGGTCACGAAGAAATGCTGATTCAAAGTTATTAAATCTAATTAGTAATAATAATAATAAGAGTTATAATAATATCCATATATGACAATGTCTCCCTTATTCCAAGGTACACCTCTCCTTGATATGTCACTCTTATTCCTCCATCAAAGCAGGGCTACCTATTAGAACATATATAAGTCACCACGTCTGAAAGTACCTATTACCTAGTTCCAAGCCAGAACAGACAAATGTCACCACGTTTGGGGAAACTACCTCTTAAAACAAGTTTCATACCAAAACAGACATACGTCACCACGTTTGGCAGAAACATTTCCAAAAATACAGTTTCATACCAAAACAGACTTACGTCACCACGCTTGGTAGGAACATTTCCCAAAATATGGTTTCATACCAAAATAGACATATGTCACCACGCTTGGTAGAAACATTTCCCAAAATCTAGTTTCATACCAAAACAGACTTACGTCACCACGTTTGGTAGAAACATATCTTTTTATTTAAAAAGATATAAAATACCCTTTTCACAATAATATATTTAAACCCAATAATTATTAAATTGTGAAAATTCCAAAGATTCTTAACACTTGTAAATTTTATACCAAAAATGATCATCCGAACAGGTTGTCCGGACAAGCTATCCGGACAACATAAGTCCGTTGTCCGATTCACAAATCCGGACAACACACTTGTCCGATTTATCAATCCGAACAACACAATTGTCCGATTTATCAATCCGGACAACATTAATACAAGTCCGATCAAAGTACAATCGGATTATACTACACTGGGTGAACCTTTGATCGATTTATGACTAAACCGAACAACCCTTGATCGATTTATGACTAAACCGAACAACCCTTGATCGTATTCCTACTTCTCCGTTCAAAACCTTTGTCCGGTTTACATAATTCAAAATCTCACCAACTTTCTAAACCGCACAATACTTGGTTCGACTTAGAGCTAAATCAGACAACACGTGTCCGACTTAAAACAATCCGGACAACACTATGTCCGATTTACACTTAATCCGGTCACCTCTTTGTCCGGATAAGAATCCAAATCGGATACATAATTTCTTTAAGAATAATATGCAACATTCATTAAAACCAATAAATTTTTTTTATATAAAAGAGATTTAGAAATCACTCACCTTATGAGTTTAGAAAAATGCAATCCCCTTTGACCCTGAGCTTGTATGTAAATCGGACAGACTTCTTCTCAATTACTCCCAAATTCAAAATTGGCAAGAAAAAAGTGTATGAGGGTCTTACCCCTCCTTTTATACCCTTCCCTTATTGGAAAGGCGGCTAAAAATAACCACCACGTGCATGC